CCGACACCATACTGTGGTACAGGGTATTATGTCTTTGTGCATTTGTTTGTAACAGGCAAAAAGAAACGAGATATAGTTCCTTTTGATGATCTTCATAGAATCGTATTCTGGATCGTCCATCTGGACTTTTCAATGGTAAAACTAACAAGGGTGGTATAATTTCCTTTAAATCCCGCGTGATTTAAGGCCAAACCTAATAAACTTATTCTTTTTTGAATACCGCCACAAAAATGGCAAATATAGCCACCGTGGACATTAAAAAAATAAACATGTAAAAATGAAGGAACTTGCAAAATGTAACAAGTAAAAAATCAGCCGAGACGAACACTTTGAAGGAACTTGAAAATTTTCCAAAAAAAAAAAAAAAAATCATCGAAAAATACCGCAATACCCGTTATATGGGTGGGTTATATGGAGACGGGATTCTGCATATACATATAGTCAACAGATTTCGAAATAATTGTGCAGGAAATGGCGAATATCAACCCAAATGACATGAATTTTGGTACATTCGACCGAATTTAGTCTAAAGGCAAGTACATAAAATTTGTACTTTTTGTAAGTCAAATAATAATTGGCTCCCATTTGGATATAGCTATATGTATATATATATATATATATATATATATATATATATATATATATATATATATATATATATATATATATATATATATATTTTTTTTTTTTTTTTTTTTTTTTTTTCTTTGTATTATTTTATTTTTACGTTTAGCTTAACTCAATATGCATAGGTCAGTAGGCTATCACATAGTCAGCCAGCCCGAATTATGTCCTCTATTTGCTGGTTTTTATACCCTATACCACAAGGTGGTCAGGGTATTATATCTTTGTGCATTTGTTTGTAACAGGCAAAAGGAAACGAGATAGACCCATAGTTCCTTTTGATTATCTGCATAGAATCACATTCTGAGTCGATTTATTCATGTCCGTCCGTCCGTCTGTCCATGTATTTTTGTAAACAAAGTACAGTTCGCATTTATTGCCCTATCCAGATGAAATTTTGCACAAATCATTTGTTTGGCCCAAGGACGAATACCTTTTATTGTGCACCAAAACTTGTAATATCAGCCCAAATATTATGGAATTTTGCACATACAATCAAATTAGGCCTGTAAATTAGTATACCAAATTTGATCGAAATCGGTTCAGATATAGCTATAGCTCCCATATATATTGTTCATCCGATTTGTTATTTTTTGTCCTCCGCAGCCGTAATATGCACTCTGTAACAACAATATTTGGGGAAATCTATCAAATACAGCTCAGAAATATCTTTGCTAAATTTTATCGAGATCGGTTCAGATTTGGATATAGCTCCCATATATAACTTCGTCCGATTTACCTTTTATTGTGCACCAAACGTCTAATATTTGTCCAAATGGGATGGAATTTGGCACTTACGACCGAATCGAGTCTAGAAGCTAGTATGTCAAATTTGGCTCAGATCGGCTCAGATATAGCTATATCTCTCATATATACTGTTCATCCGATTTGTTATATTTGTTACCCACAACCGTAATATGCTCTCCGTAACAACGATATTCAGGGAAATATATCAAATACAGCTCAGAAATATCTTTGCCAAATTTTATCGAGATCGGTTCAGCTTTGGATATAGCTCCCATATATATCTTTATCCGATTTCAAATGAATTGTGCACCAAATGGGCAATACAAGTCCGAATTTAAAAGATACAAATGCTTCGGCATATTTAGTCTTTTGAACTTTAAATTATAATTATAATCATAGCGTGTATGATTGAATTCTCCCATAAAAACTTTTAATCTAAATTAGTAAAGTGGTGTAGGGTATCATAAAGTCGGCCCCGCCCGACCTAATGACTTTCTTTACTGTTTTTTTTTCTGTTACTTCAAGTCTTTAAATTTCATTTTTTTCTGAGTTTAATGGTTTACAACCATTTGTAGCCTTGCCCTTCCCCCCGTTTTCAAATTTTAATCAAGAATCGTGACAACAACATGGGTAGGAAGAAACTGTTTTAATGATGCTCTCTTCAAAGACACTTAAAAGAAATGACTACTTCCCCTGTGAGATATGTAAAAAAAACGAAACTGTGAAAAATTCTAATTGAGTGACACATCACGTCAAAACAAACGACAATAACAAAGCATAACAAAATGTTAAAGTTGTATTCTTTTGTTGCCACTTGAAAAAAAAAAATGAGACCGGTTTATAATCGATATGAATGGTCGTGAATGGATGAAGTGGCATCGGCATTCAAATACCTTTGCGGCATGTGAAAACAATTAAATTAATAACAAAACGAGATATAAACATTATGTAAATGTGAACGCTCATCTCAGTTCGGTCATTATGCGAACACTGTTATGTCATTATGAAAACCAAATGAATTTAGGCTATTTGCCTAAATGATTGTTTGAGATATGAAGTAAAGGAAGCCTTCACTGGTTTTGGAAATTTGTGTTATGTGTACGAACTGTCCTAAATGGTACTAAATTGGGAACAGTTTGGTTTAGGGTTAGCAGATGGAGCTGGCAATTTGATGTTTTTGTATTGGGATCCCTGTTGGTGGCAGGTTTGAGAATTAAAGTTGGAAATGTGTACGAAAGTTACTAAATTTGGTACGATTTGGTATTTGGTGAACAGATAGTGCTTGCACTATTATTTGGTGCAATTTTATATTTGGGTCGCTGTTCATGTCTAGTCTTTACATTGTAAATTGTAATTGTCGGAAAAGTGCTGATTGGTAAAATATTTATTATTGGGTGAAGGGATAGAGATAAAATTTTAAAATTTTATATTGAGGTCACTGTTTACATATGGAGACTTTGAAATAGTTTTGGACAAAAAAATGGATGTGGGTCCATTGTGCAATGGTTTTGCTAATATCCTCCTCAATAAACTCCAAAATGAAAGATTTTGAAAACGTTTTGGTGTAAAAGTAAATAAAGGGTGAGATGAAAAAACTGCAACCAACTTCAAACTGCTGTCATTTCTAAGCCACTTGTCCGACAGCCGTTTAAATTATTCCAGTGACACCTCATTATATTGTTTACAAGCGTACAAAAGCATTTTGGTGAGATTTTTCCAGAAAAAAGATATTCGTGATGGAATTTAAGCGTGATAGTGTGATTTCTTTATATTTGTCTGGAAAACCATCTGGCTATCGTTAGAGCACTCCATCATTTAAATGTGAATAAGTCTTTTGTGTCTCGGGCATCGTGTGACGGTTTCATTGGCCGTTTGAATGCCATAATTAGTGCCGAAGGTGACCAATTGGAACAAATCTAAACTTATTCTAAAATTTGATGCTATTTCCGACATTTTTGGTTTTCATCCAAAAAAAAATTAAAACAAAATGTGGAAATTATGACGTTTGACTATGTTGCAGTTTTTTTTATCTCATATTTTATTTGTCTATTATTATTTCTGAAAAAGGAAAAATTTGAATAGTACATAAAACCTTGAAAGTCTGAATATTTAGTACGACGTAAGAAGTTTTGTTAAAAAATGCTTTTCAAACTGAACAAATTGTGCATTTTGAACTGTTTTTGGCAATTTTAAGATGCACTCTTCGCTGGTGCAGAGTGTAGATTTATAAGTTATATGAAATATCCGACTTAAATAGGGTCGCAATAAATAAAGAGCTACGTTGAAGGAATTTAAAAAATTTCCAAAAAATCCGACGAAAAAAAAGAAAATGGTTTTATGGGGGCTAAACGAAGACCTGGACCTGTATGTAAAACTTAGGCTGTACTACCCATTAGGAACTTCAAAATACGAAATTTAATGCAATTACGGAGTATAATGTCGGTAAAAGCATTAAAATATCGAATATAGGGCGGTATTGTTATATAGGGCCTGTAGACTTCTTGGTCACAAACTGTAGCACCCATTACGAACTAACTATACGAATAACCAAAAGTCCTGCAGACCTACCACACATCTGTGTAAAATTTTATTAACCTTCCTTTGGAATGTAGATTGATTTCCACAAACGAACGGACATCGCTAAATCGATATAGAACTTCATGATTATCAAGAGTATTTTGAGGTGTTACAAACGGAATAATAAGCTTAATATACCCTGCCTACAATGGTGGACGGTAGAAAAAATAATAAATTTTTCTGGACAAATTTTTGCGTTTTGAATAATTTTTTCACATATATGGAAATATTTATTTTGAATAAAAACTTATTTTGATTTATATGTTTTTTAAATTTTATTATGGGTAAATTGTTGTAATTTAGACCAGCGAACGAAAACAAACGAAACGTATAACGTACTGCTCCCGCGAAGTCACAGGCTTTAAAATTATTTTCAATCGTTTTGTACTTCAAACAAAATAATACCACAAACATTTCAATGTCGGAAGTACCCAAACAATACGATTGACTTATTGTTCTTCGGCTGTGATTTGCGAGCTGTATCGTTTGCGAGCGAATCGCCGGGAAACGTTTCCAAAGGTTTGCTGAGCGAAATGAGAACTGCTATATTTAGAGTCGTCATTGTATATATTGTTTTTTACACTGTTTCCTTTGTATTACAGACGTAACAAATAAATAAAAAGACATTCATTTAAATTAATATTAGTTTTTACTTTTCGTAATGAGTAATATACAGGGAAACGTTTGCAATGAGTTTTGTACTGTTTCGTTTGCAATGTTGCGTCATCCAGCAGAGAACATTTCAGTTTTGTTTTTGTTTCAACTCATCTACGCAAACAGAACCAAATACAAGTGAAGTCCCGTTATCTTAATATCGGTTGTGTTTCGTTTCGTTCTTCAAGAAAATACGGAACAAAACGATTGCAAACGTTTGGTAAAGTTTAATTTCGTACGCTGAGTTAGACATTTATTGTTCAAACGATTGGCAATCGGTTTAGCTTCGTACTTTTTGAATAAGCTTTTCGATTAATTTAATTATAAGAAGGTCTTTTAAATAAGAGAAATTCTAGTTAAATATAGGGAATAATGCATTTGGTCATTCATATACTCACTTTGAGGATATGAATGTATTTTGTTGTCGGCGGCATATCCCGAATATTTTACATACATAGAATTGTTATGTGGACTATTATGTGCATGCTTACTTTTTATATATATAAAATAAGATTTTGTTACTTACGACATTTGCTTGGGATACTAATAAAAATATATTGTATATCTCTCTACATATTATATCAAAATATATATTTGTTCTCTATCATAAAACCAAAATCATGTATAAAAAATGGCAACATGTAATCATGTTGCCAATTAATCATCTAATTGACACAACGAAGCGGCTCCGCGATTTATCCAATGCATTTGATTTTTTGTACAGGGTAAATCCATGTACATCACGAAATTGGTTGAATGACCAGTCGTAGAAAGAATGCCACGTCGTTCACTTGTCTTGTATACAGGACATTCGTATATAGGTTTTCCATCATCAGCAATGCGTTTGTCATCTGTAGCTGAAGCAACATTCCGAAGGGTTGGTAAGAGACATATGACGGGTATGGTGTCGAAGAGTATCTTCGAAAATGATTCATCGACAGCGAGTATGGTACGATTCCAGCGACAGCCCTCTAGGTAGAGACCCTATAGTAAAAATTGGACAAATGTCATTATTTTAATTGTACATTGGTTGGATGTTATGTATTGTGGTAGTAGTGAGCTAAAATAATTAAATTTAATTCATTACGTGGTAATAATCTAAACGGTTTCATTAATTACAAATACTAGTAAAAAACAGTAAGTTCGAAAAATTTGGAAATTAAAAAAAAAAACGTTGAAAAATACTGTTAAAGTCATAAAAATATCGAATTTAGGGAGTTACCGTCTTATCATCAAAATACCGAATATATATGGTGGCCATACCTAAACGTGGACCTTTATAACTCATTTTCAATACTAAAATTCCTGCTGACAAAACACCTATTTGAGTAAAATTTTATCAAAAATTTTATCATTCGGAAGCTGATCAAGAATAGATATACTTTATTGGGTCTAAAATGTACATTTCGAGGTGCTACAAACGGAATGACAAACTTAATATACCCTCCATACTATGATGAAGGGTATAACAAGGTAAAACTATCAAAATGTAAAAAAAGTGTATGCTTTCAATATTTATTTTGGCATTGACTTGAGTGGCCAGTAATACATTGGTATAGCAGTTTCGACTCGTTGTTTCACGGGAGCTCCGACTGGCTGTTCCACAGAAACTTCGACTCCATGTTCCGCAGAAGCTTTGGCTCACTATTCTAGTCAAAATCTAGAGTGGTGACGTAGATGTTATCGTAGCCAGTAGCATAACCCAAAAAACTAACCTACGTTAGTATCAACGGATAATGGACGTCCACTTAGCACAGTCCTCTATTATATTCAAATCGTTTTCAACCTCCTCGTAATCCTCCACTTCCGAACATACGACATTCATTCATCAGAGTTCCCGGTTATCTTCAAATCGTATTATCTCCGATTACTTACGCTTCGTCTACAACCCGAGTTTCAGCATCGTGATACCCGATTGCTCGCAAATCGGCAATAGGCCGACACCCATATATTAAAGATATCTACAGTCGTCAAGAACATCGAATTCTCGATTATCAATTGCATCATCAGCAACACATTGAATTCCCGAGTATATCCGAAGTCAATTCGCCAACATATCTATTAAATCCAATTATCGCATTTATACGCGAGTAGATTATAATTTAGAATTTTAATTAACAAAAACCCTATTTATATACCCATTAGGCTTAGTGGTTCCCCAGCGACGAGAAAACCACGTTATCTATATTAATAAAAGAGTAAGGTGCTTGACTGCCTGACTGACTTAATGATTCATAAACGCCCAAACGAAACGGCTGGAACCAGAATCTTGAAATTATGGTTGAAGACGTGGACCTGCACAGACAACTTTCTGTCTTAGGCTATAGTATCCATTTCGAACTTCAAACACCAAATTTGAAACAATTCCGGTGAATAATGTCGCTAAAATCATCAAAATACCGAATATCGGGAGGTGCCGTTATATGGGGGCTATATGAATACGTGGACCTACATGGCCCATTTACGAACTTAACCTGTCTACTGGCAAAATAAACATGTGTGCAAAATTTTGGCCTTCTATCTCAATTCGTTCGAAAGATAGCGTGATTACAACAGACAGATGGACATGGCTAGAATTTTACGCTGATCAAGAATATATATACTTTGTTGGGTCTAAGATCTTTATTTCGATGAGTTACAAACGGAATGAAAAAATGAATATACCCTCCATAGTATGGTGGAGGGTATAAAAAGTATTAATTCAATAATTTATATGTTTCACAAATACACATAACACACGTACGCATAAATCAGCAAACAAAATAATTGGTTACACTCATTTTCACTCATTGAGCAGACTCTTGCTCTATTTTTAACGGTTCTTATCCCACACTAATTTTTCAAAACAGGACTGACTCAGGGCGCTGCCACACAAAACATAAGAGTACTCTTCACTCTAAAACCTCCCACCGTAAATAACTCCCATTCTTCCAGCAATCCTACTCGACAGCTATGCTTTCCACCTCGACAAATATCTTGTTATAAATCGAGAATTTGCTCACGGTTTCACAAGTAGGCTGAACCCCATCCGTTATTTTTCCTACGATTTCAAAAAATTTCCTTGAATTGGTTCTTATTCAGCAAACACCTTATGGCACTTTACATTTCATTGACCTACTTAAGTATATTTATATATATTTTTTCGTTAAATAAATCAAGATAACCACTTGTTACGGTAAAGAGATTAAATTCTAGCAGGTCTTTATCGTCGATTAATACAATAACGACCCCAAAATTGTAAAATTTGGCAAATTCAATTGGTCGATAATAAAATTGCAAAATACAATATAAGTATTATGTTTTGCAATTTTATTTTCGCATAACAGTTTATTTTCGAAAGTAACTTAAGCCCCCCAACTTAGAGCCCAAAATACCATATTGCAGACAATTTACTTTAAAATATTGTGAAATGTTCGCATTACCTAAAACCATTAGGTGCAAAGTTCAGTGTTTCGTAGTTTAATCTTTTACAATATTTTCTTACTTGAATTAATTTAGCTTCGTCGTTGTGTTCCTTTTGTTTCTGTGTAGATAAAAGTTTGTTTTGTGTTTGAGAAATACAGAAGAGGCACAAAGAGAAAATGTTATAAACTAGTATTTGTTTAAATTTTCAGTTGTTTCTTGAAGGAAAACAAAAAAGAAAATTAAATTTGTACACACCCGTATATATGCTCCGAGTTCCGGCACTTTATCAGCCTCCATTTCGTATTGGGTCACTTCAAAATCAATCTTCACCATATCAATCTGAAAGCGATTCTTTCTCGAATAGTTTTGCAGTACACCAGTCATAAACGATTGAGTGAAATAGAATCCGGATAACCAGTAAACGATTGGTTCTCCATCATCTATCCATCGTTGAAAGAATTCCAATCTGAAAACAAGAAGATTATGTTAGGAGGACAAACGAAGTATGGTGGAAATGGTGTTTACAGCCAGATAAAAGTTTCAATCATTTCTTTACATCTTGAAAGTTTTTCTTTAATTTAATTAGTTTTTCACAATATTTGTTCATTTTTGGAACAATCTTTTGATATCAAAATATCTTGTTTATTTTATCAACGAAATTGAAGTGCAAAGAAACAATTGTGTCTTAAGTTTTGATGTTATGTTGTTCTATCTGAGGAAGAAGAAGATTTGTGAAACACTATTCAGATGATTATTAGAATAATCACTAAAAAGTAACTAAAAAATATTGTATGGAATTATTGGACTATCATCAATGAAATGAAAACAGAACCAACTAATTATGGCGAACTAATATTGGCGAATATTTAGCTAGATTATTATATACCTTTCGCACTGTACTTTATACCCTACACCACAAGGTGGTCAGGGTACTATGTCTTTGTGCATTTGTTATTAACAGGTAAAAGGAAACGAGATAGACCCATAGTTCCTTTCGATGATCTGCATAGACTCACATTCTGGGTCGATTTATGCATGCCCGTCCGTCCGTCCGTAAGTCCATGTTTTTTGTAAACAAAGTACAGTTCGCATTTATTTCCCTATCCAGATGAAATTTTGCAGAAATCATTTGTTTGGCCAAGGACGAACCCTATTGAAATTGGAGATAATCGGTCAACATTTAGATATAGCTCCCATATATATCTTCGTCCGATTTGCCTTTTATTGTGCACCAAACGTGTAATATCAGTCCGAATAGTATGGAATTTTGCACGTACGATCAGATTGGACCTGAAAATAAGTATGGCAAATTTGATCGAAATCAGTTAAGATATAGCTATAGCTCCCATATATATTGTTCATCCGATTTGTTATTTTTGTCCTCCGCAGCCGTAATATGCACTCTGTAACAACAATTTTTGGGGAAATATATCAAATACAGCTCAGAAATACATTTGCTAAATTTTATTGAGATCGGTTCAGATTTGGATATAGCTCCCATATATAACTTCGTCCGATTTATCTATTATTGTGCACCAAACGTCTAATATTTGCCCAAATGGAATGAAATTTGGAACTTACGACCGAATTGAGTCTATAAGCTAGTATGTCAAATTTGGTGAAGATCGGTTTAGATATAGCTATAGCTCCCATATATACTGTTCATCCGATTTGTTACATTTGTTACCCACAGCCGTAATATGCACTCCGTAACAACGATATTCAGGGAAATATATCAAATACAGTTCAGAAATATCTTTGCCAAATTTTATCGAGATCGGTTCCGATTTGGATATAGCTCCCATATATTTTTTTTATCCGATTTCAAATTAATTGTGCACCAAATGGGCAATACAAGTCCGAATTTAAAAGATACAAATGCTTCGGCGTGTTTTGTCCTTTGAACTTTAAATTATAATTATAATCATGGCGTGTATGATTGAATTCTCCCATTAAAACGTTTAATTGTTATGCGGAGCTCTACTAAATTAGCAAAGTCGTGTAGGGTATTATAAAGTCGGCCCCGCCCGACTTTAAGACTTTCTTTACTGGTTTTCCTTTGTAAGTCATGGAAATACTCATTTAACATCCAACATAGTATACAGGGTGAGATGAAAAAAACTGCAACCAACTTCAGACTGCTGTTATTTCTAAGCCACTTGTCCGACAGCTGATAAAATTATTCCTGTGACAGCTCATTATATTGTTTACAAACGCACAAAAGCATTTTGGTGAGAATTTTCCAGAAAAAAAGTTATTCGTGATGGTATTCAAGAGTGATAGCGTGATTTCTTTATTTCTTTATTATTAAATTTTATCGAGATCGGTTCAGATTTCAAGTTTTGAGAAGGCCTAAATGCACCGGAAAATTTAGCTCTCATATATACCTTCCTCCGATTTGCCTTTTACTGTGAAACAAACGTGTAATGTTAGTGAAAATGGGATGGAATTTGGTACTTGCTACAAAATTGAGCATAGAAACAAGTGTGTCAAATTTGGTGAAAATCGGTTCAGATGTAGCTATAGCTCCCATATACATTTTGCTCATCCGATTTGTTGATTTTATTATGCACAACCGGATTTTGCACTTCGTAGTAACGATATTCGGGATTTCAAGTTAATTGAGCACTAAATGGGTAATACAAGCCCGAATGCCTCGGAAAATTTAGTAGAAATCGATTCAGAGGAGGATACTCCTCTTATATATTAGTTCCTTTGGACTTTAAATTATAACTATAAATATAGTTGGTATTATCTAGTTCTCACAAATTCACCATAAAAAAAATTATTTGTTATGTTCAGCTCTAAAAATATACATGGGGAGTAGGGTATCATAAAGTCGGAACCGCCTGACTTTACGACTTTCTTTACTGGTTTTACTTTAAGAACTTCGCGCTGATCAAGAATATATTTACAAACGGACTGACAAATTTAATATACCCTCTATACTATGAATGTTGAAGGGTATATAAACATTGCAGCAGATTTAATGTCAAAGTTATTTATTCTAATTGTTCCCATTTGATTCAATTACAATATTTGAATACTTACCTTGCAAGAAAGTCGGTAATGTAACTGCCCAATGGCTTCAGTGATGGATAACTTTTTTTCAACCAATCATCTGGCAATTTTCCAATGACCATAGAGCGATGGGTTCTCTCTAATTCGGGAATCATTGCTATCTGGCCCTGTATTGCCTTTTGGACATTTAAAAGGCTTTTTCGTATGTACTCAAGTAGGCGATTAAATCTTGATTTAATAAAATAAATAAAATATAAATTTATTCAAGTCAAAATAAAAATGACCAGCAGTGATTACCTTATCAGCTCCTGTCTCAATACAGTATTCATAGAATTTGTGTACACAACGGGGTATTTTTCTGCTACTTCATCAACGTTGAAGGGTTCTGGCAAACGTTTCAATATATCCTTACATATTTGAAAAGCCGGATCAACTTTAGGGCCATCTCCACTGCTGCTTGTCTTTACCGAAGCCATGAGATCAGTTTGTGTTTTCAAAACACCTTGAATAAGCTTTATAACAGATATAATTTCATTATTTTATTACTTGAATACTTTAGTGCATTTTTTATGATCAATTTGAAATAAAAAAAAAAACATTATTAAATGCCCACATTCGGATTTTATTACTTACACTATCCGTTTCTTTGTTATTGCGATTTATGTCGGCATTTTCGTGTAAACCATAAACCTCGGGATGAGGGCTTAAGGGAAAATCTTGTATGTATTCCAGGGCGTTGGCACGTGTTGGATTTAGGGGTATTCGGTAGTCACCAGACTGTGATAGTTGAAAACTGGTCATAAAACGATAATGCACAGGGACAAAAGTTAATTTTCAGCGAACATTAAGTTGGATTTCGTTATGTTGTTGTTATTTGTTGTGAGGTTAACTCTTTAAATAAGGGCAGTATATGTTGTTGCGGAAATATTGTCACAAATATTTTTATGTGTTTTTTTAATGGCTAGCTAATTGGTAATGTTTTATATTTTCAAACTTGCAGATAGATATATTTTGAAGTCTTGCTGAGGGATATGAAAGCATAGACTGTATATAATATATAGACAAAAGGAAGTGTTATTTTATCCACATACAACAAATTTGTCTTTTATGCCCTTCATCGTACAATGAAGGGTTATTAAGTTTCCCATTCTATTTGAAGTTCCTCGAAATAGGCATGTAGGTTTAGTCCTATCCGTGGAATATGGAAACTACTCTGCCTTCCGAAAAAATTAAATAGATTGACAGAAATTTTAGTCGAATGTATTACAGGTTCGTACATTTATGGCACATATCCATATATGGTACATATAGTTCCACATTTGATGCCTCACGCCACATTTTTAAATATATTTGTTTAAAATTTGATAATGGAAGATGGAAATAAATTTTAAACCCAATAATACATATATTCGTGATCAGCGTAAAAGTCTATGACGATTTAGCGATGTCTGTCAGTTTGTGGAAATTACTCTGTCTTCTGACCGAAATGAAGTAGGTTGATAAAATTTTTTAAACTCGTTTAAACTCGAATTTGCTGTTCATCGGCAGTATGTGTTCCATTAAGTAAAAAAAAACCCATGCATACAACTGTCAATATAAGTCTAAGTTTTGGTATAGTCCCTATATAATTGTGTACCTCCCGATATTAGGTATTTTGATGATTTGTGTAAAACTTTTCACTGGATATGTTTCAAATTTGAAGTTCCTAATAGGTATTACATGTTATGACCGACAATTGCCCATGAAGGTCCACGTCTTCGTATAGCCCCCATATAACAGTACCTCCCTATTGTATCAAATTTCGTATTTGAAGATCCTAATATACAGAAAATTTCACATACAGGTCCGGGTCATCGCCTAGCCCCCATATAACTGTAACTGCCTATATTCGGTATTTTGATGACTTTAGAGACATATTCACCGGAACTGTTTAAAATATCGTTTTTCCAACGGATTTTTTTTTTTTTTCAAAATTTGCAAATTCCTTGAAAATGGTGGAGGGTATAGACAGTTTGGCCCGGCTTGCTTTTTTTGAAATTCTGTATATTTTCAATTGGTGTTTTCCACAAAAGGTGGGTATTTCGGCAAACTCGATTCGAAAACAAATATTTAAATTCTTCTAGGTGAAGTTATATGAAGGTTATGTATTGTTCTCGGACCATATAAACAATTTTCGACTGCGAACTTCAAATACAACAATTATATGGGAAATGTAACTAAATTCAGATATATACAGAGATTCGAGTGGGTAGGCAATTTTGGTATAACCCTCAAAAGAAGGTATTCCCTAATTCCATTCCGCGGTCTTGGCCACATTTTTTATTTGATTTGGCCCCTTTTTGGTATTTTGGTTTATAAGGAAAAATAAAATCTTTTCATTGCAAACACATGCATATTTAATACTGATTGGGAACGTAGACTTTGCAGGTACCAATGCTTATTTTTTCCGTGCAAAAAAAAAAATACTAATTATTACCCAAAACGATTGGGATTGACCATATTTTCCAATGAAATATGTAGAATCAGGAAGTACTTTAAGATGGGCGCTACTTCAAAACGTTGACCTACATTGAAAATTTTCTGCAAAGATGTTTTCTACCCTCTTAGAAACAAAGATGTCAAATAGGGCCCACTCAGTTTAAAAAGTTGGCCAAGACCCAAAAAAAAAAAAAACTGAAATCAGGAGATACCTTAATATGTGGGTTATACCAAAACGTGGGCCTGTACTGATATTTTTTTCAGTTCCTTAAAAGTACTCAATTTACCAAAATTAGTGTGAACAAATTTATGGGAGATATCGAACGAGTGGACAAATATTATCCACTTCTCACCTGAACAAACTCTGATATACAGGGTGAGATGAAAAAACTGCCACCAACTGCTGTCATTTATAAGCCACTAGTACGACAGCTGTTAAAATTATTCCAGTGACAGCTCATTATATTGTTTACAACCGCACAAAAGCATTTTGGTCAGAATTTTCCAGAAAAAAGTTATTCGTGATGGAATTCAAGCGTGATAGGTTGATTTCTTTATATTTGGCTGGAAAACCACAAGGGGCTATCGTTAGAGCACTCCAGCATTTAAGTGTGAATAAATATTTTGTGTTTCGTACCATCGCTCGTTACCGTGATACTGGTAGCGTAGCCCGACGTCTAGGAAGTAGACGGCAGAAAACAGCAACATCAGCAGAAATAGTTAGAAAAGTCAAGAAGCGATTTAATCGAAACCCGCATGGAAGTGGCCGAAAAATGGCTCTTGAGCTGAACATATTGCAATATTCCATTCGACAAATATTGAAAAATGAGCTCGGGGTAAAGTCATTGAAATTCAAAAAAGTGCAAGAACTTACACCCCAACATAAAGAAACTAGACCCAAAAGAGCTAAAGAGTTGCTTCGCTTGGCCGAAAGTGGTGAATTGCCGAATTTGGTTTTCTCCGATGAGAAAACATTCGTTGTCCAGTAGTTTGTAAACAAACATCGTGTTTACTTGCCAAAGAGGTCAGCAGAAAATGTGCACTTTCGGTTGGCCACCAGAAGTCAAGCGCCAGCCATGGTGTTGGTGTGGGCCACCATAACAGCGGATGGTCGCTCTCCGCTCTTATTAATCGACCGTGGCATCAAAATAAATGCCGAATATTATCGCGAAAATATTCTGGAGGGTATATTAAAGCCTTGGGCACGCAAACATTTTGGCAGCAGACCATCGTACTCAGCACGCGCCACCCAAGAATTGTTACAAAATGAGATTCCTCGCTTCATTTCCAGCGCACAATGGCCACCAAAATCTCCGGATACCAATCCGTTGGACAATTGTGTCTGGAGTATTTTGCAAAGCCGGAAATGGGCCAAAATACCTCAGAGCAATATTTGGCCAGTGTGTGACGGTTTCATTGGCCGTTTGAATGTCATAATTCGTGCCAAAGGTGACCAATTCGAACAAATCTAAACTTATTCTAAAATTTGGTGCTATTTCCGACATTGTTTGCTTTCATTCAATGACATTTTAAGAAAAATTATGGCGTTTGACTTTCTTGCCGTTTTTTTATCTCACCCTATATACATTATATCGTGGCCGATTTGGACTATATCGACTACTTCCTTCACTTTATATGAGATATGTTATATTTTTTGGAACATATTGAAATATGAAATATCTACATATATTAGACATAGGTATTCCACTTCATTTAATACTGAAAAATAGTTGGATGTGAAAAATTTTAAGAAAATCAGATCGATTATTTGGAAATATAATTGTTAATAACAAGTTTAACCTTTAGAGGAACAAGTAGGAGAGATTCGATAAATTCTATATTTATTTCTCAGATCTTTGATATGTAGATATACAAAGTTATATAAGAATTATGAGAGAGCTTGTGTTAGTAAAAATATTGGGATATATGAAATTAGAAGAGAATCTGATGATTATTTTCCATTTTATGTAGATACATTTATTCAAAAATTGGGCCCATTTTGGGGGAAGTACCAGAAGGAGTGAAGCACCAAATAATGAAAATATTGGAATATGTGAAATTTGCACACAAATGGACTCTAATTTCACATTTTATAAGAATTATAATTATTCCAAATTTTGACAATTTATGGGGAAGGTACTTGATGGAGTGGGCCGAAATTGCCCATTTTGCATCTGACCACTGCAAAAATATTGGGATTTGCAAAGTTTGAGAAAATCTAATCAAACTTTCTCTTTCTATTAAGTAAATTATATTCTTAGAACAAATTCGGCATAAATTCGTTTTCCGGCAACTATACTCATCGAGCATTTACTGATTGGATTTTCTCAGTAAGAATTTTGTAAAGTCTCAGAAACATAGTTATGTACATCGCCACGCCAATTCACTCTCAATTCTTATATTTTGTAATTATTTTTATAAAATATTGGGTTAAGGCACACTCCTAATATTGCTTTTTGGTACATCTGTACAATCGGAACGCCTTTTCCCCAAAGCGGGTGCAATATAAACAGAAAAAAGGAAACAAGACGCCTGTAAAAGCTCCTATTTTTAAATTCTGCACCAAGGAAATAAATGTTTTTTTATATTTAATTTACCACTATAATAAATACTACAATACTTACTTGTCAATATCAATGGTATCGGGATTGTAGATCATCTGGAGTAATGATAAGATTAGGCGGCGATCCTTGTCATCTGTCACGCGACCACCATAGTTACATTCGCCTGTTAGATAAACATGACCACGAAAAGGAATGACATGACTTTGCGCTATAAACATCTTCAGCTGAAGCAGTGAAATTCTGAAAGCACAAAGAAGAAAAACTCATATAAATCAATGTTTATGTGATAATAATTAGCCTCTCTTAAAGGATGAGTCAGTAAATAAAAATTAATTCTAAATCCCAATCCAAACGTTATATGAGGGCTATGCGGTATAGTGGAGCGATATAGTCCATCTTCGAACCTGATCTGCCTGCAGATAAAAGACTGATCTGTGCAATATTTTAGCAATAGGTCTAGCCCTTCTGAGCCTAACCCTACCCTTGTGGAAATTTTCGTGAGGATCGTACGATAATTGTAATCTGTATATAACAACCCCAACCTGTGTTGTAAGGTAAAAAAATATTACAAAATATACACTTCAATATTATGAGTCAAATTGAAACAAGTAAGCATAGGCTACAGTCGAGCGGGGCCGACCGTTGAATACCCTACAACACTATAATAAACGATACAGTTTATATAGGCGAGATACTCGAAAGAATTTCACAAGATATTGTGACAAATAATAAAAGAAAACCATCAGGTTTCGTTCTCTAATTTTCGAATAATAGCAACTTAAACTAATTTGCTCATTTCCTATTTATTGGTAGATGTTGCACGTAAATGGTCTTCCTAGATCTGGAACCAATATTTCCCAAAGACCTATAATCTCAGAAGTGGCAAAAGATTAACATTTATTATTGGTTTTTGACTGAAACGCATCTATATGAGATACAGACATTTGACTATATTCTTCAACGAAATCAGCGTTAACGAAATAGTCAGAAGTGAATTCTCCAAAAAGTCACTGGAATGGACATTTTCGTATTTTGTCTACAAAAGTTGGCAAACTCCTTCACACATTGAATATTTTTGGATGCATTTTTGGATATTTTGCAATGTCCGGTAACCCCCATTCAAATGTGCGTGAGGATCGGCCGATTATTACGACCTGCTGACAATTTTGCAGTTTTTTGGTAAAAAATATGACAAAATTGAAAAAATATGAGAAAATTTTACAAAATCAATATTTTCATCTTTAGAGAGATATTTTTATGCGATTTTTTAGACGTTTTTTCTTTCCTGCCAAGAGGCCATTCTGAATTAATGAGAACTGTCGAAATCAGTTCAGCCGTTCTCGACATATAAGAGATTTTTCAAGCATATCTTCTTTGATAAACATATATATCGCACATATTGCTATATATCCGTTTTGTTGGATGTTAACATCAATGTAAAGATCAGGAGTAACCTTGTCATGGCTTTGTGATTTCGCCGGGATTTAAAATATTCGCGGTTTAATGAAAAATTTTGAATTTTTTCAACAAAAAAGATATGGTCTATTTTACCCGCTAAATATTATCCGATGACCACCCAAATGGGTAGGCTTCTTCCCCGCCCTAAACTCTAGCTACATGCGAAATTCCGCGTCGATTGGTCTATAATTGCGACCTGTAGAGCAAGTGCAAAATCAGAGCCCTGAGCTCTAGCCACATGCTAACTTCCGCTTCGATCGGACTATAATTGCGACGAAAATCAGGAATTTTTTAAGTTTTTGGTTCATTTCAACCCCTAAATATTATGCAATCATCTCCAAAATAAATAGGGTTCTATTCTGACCTTAACCCCACCTCCATTTTCAATTTCGTGAGGATCGGGCCATAATTGTGACCTGTAGAGTGATTACAAATTAACATGGACAGACGGACGGACGGACATATGTACATAGCTAGATCGACTCAGCTCGGCGAGATAGGAAGATCCATATATACTTTCCTATGTGGGAAATCAATATTTCGTGGTGTTACATAATTTTTGGCCCAAGCAAACTTATAATACCCCCAACACAAAGTGTTGTAGGGTATAAATATTGAGATTTGCCAAGATAAGCCAAAATCGGTTGAATCTTTCTTTTTTTGGAGGGTAAATTATTTTCTTAGAAAATTTTGATTTTTTGTGGGTAAGATACCAGAAGGAGTCAACCGAGATTGCACACCTCCAAACTCGATCTATGTTTGACATTTACATTACGATGTACCAAGTTCGGGCCAAATCGAATACTCCTTTAGAGAGTTATCGTGCGCAAGAGCCAGTCAGTCGGACGAACCCCGCTAGATTGACTCCAAATGTCCTGTAATGGGCTTGGTCCAAATAGACCTGTGGTCTAAAACCGTTATTTCGATGATACACGTTTTGGACGTTTCAAATGCCCGCAAGTTGAGGGTATAGAAATAAAAGTGAAAATTATTAACCGCTGACACTTTTAGCAAAAAATCAAATCAAATTTCTTAACAAAGTATAGAATTTTTAAAAGTTGCTTAAACAACATTATAAAAAAATAGTAATCATTATAAAATTGTTCACCAGATGTTTTGTAGTTTAATTTATTTTTGGTCTGTTGGGCCATTATGGGAAACACACACACACACATTGACATTGAAACCATTGTATGAAAGAAATGGAGTTGGAGATGAGACTGACAAGGGAAACTTACTTTAAATCCGCTTCACTAAATTCGTATGGTATATTCCAACCAAGTGGCCCGAATTCACGACGTTCTTGGACAACAGCATGAAAGAAGACCAATGCGAACACGCCACGCAACCAACTTTTATTGGCTGTTTCGACGTGGACAAATGCATTGCTAAAGAATTTATCGCGCACCAAAGGATCCGAATTAAATGATCTCTGCATATTGGCCCTGAGGCCTTTTGGCGGCTCGTTTGTCATCTTCACCGAATTCTGTAACACTGACACGGGGAATACAGAGCTCGGATAAGAGGTACACCATAGACGATAATCTGGATGGGCTGATTCGGCCAGTGTACTGTCATTGCAAATGCGCTCCAATTCACCCATCCAACTGACAGCTACGTGACAATTTTGCAAAACCACCCAGTGTCCATGACGATTGGCATCGATTATCATCTTTTCCGCACGTGGCCCTTGTCCTTGACCCAACGATATGCTTTTAGTTCTGAAAAGTAAGAATTCGAGTTATTAGTAAAAATAAAATGAAATTAAAGTATATGCATTTTTTATTTCTACTGCAATCAAACATACAAAAGGGGGTTACAATTTTAAGCTTTAAAACATTTCATAACTATTTTTTGGGCAGAAAATCTCAGATACATTCATATAGGGCGAAACAAGTAAAGGATGTCGAACTGAATATTTGAATACCTATTCATGGGGTTGGGTCATGTGTCGAACCCTGTAAAAAATTACTGAATTGTTCTCCATTCAGTCGAAAATGTGGCTAATATCTTTAACAAAGCCCAAAAGTGGCAGGCTATTCGGAATTCTTGGTCCACGTTTACTTTTTGTGAGCTTGCTTTCCGACCCCTTAGATTTTATAATATCAAATTATATCCAATTCGACCGAAAAATATGACCAGGACCTTAAAGACACGTATAATTAATCAGTGTCCATACGCCAAAGGTAAGGTGAACATTCAGCAACTAGATATAACTAATTTGGTTGGAAATTGTTGTGGGATATCATCATGAGGGCTTTTTCAAATTATGAAAAATTCGTCCGAAGCCTAGAAAATACTTCCAACTGGTAGGTACTTTACTGTAAGATATACACCAAATAGTAGAAACGTTAAAATTATAGAAAATCTGGAGGTACCGTTAAACAAATATGACTTTATTAAATATATATATTTTTTTGTAAGGAGTTAACCTTCCAACTGTGTACCCGAAATTACAAACTTCAGCCGACTTGGTTGGAAATATTGGAAAGGAGGATATATTAAGTTTGTCATTCCGTTTGTAACACCTCTAAATACAGCGTGAGATGAAGAAATTGCAACCAATTTCAGACTGTTGTCATTTCTAAGGCACTCGTCCCACAGCTGTTAAAACTATTCCAGTGACAGCTCATTATATTGTTTGCAAGCGTACAAAAGCATTTTTGTGAGAATTTTCCAGAAAAAAAATTATTCGTGATGGAATTCAAGTGTTATTTCTTTATATTTGGCTGGAAAACCACAAGTGGCTATTGTTAGAGCACTCCAGCATTTAAATGTGAATAAATCCTTTGTGTCTCGTACCATCGCTCGTTACACTGATACTGGTAGCGTAGTCCGACGTCAAGGAAGTGCACGGAAGAAAACAGCAACCTCAGCAGGAATACTTCGAAAAGTAAATGAGCGACTTGAACGAAACCCGCGTCTCAGTGGCCGAAAAATGGATCGTGAGCTGAACATATCGCAAAATTCTATTTGGCAAATATTGAAAAATGAGGTCGGGGTAAAGCCATTGAAATTCTAAAAAGTGCAAGAAATTACACCCCAACATAAAGAAAATGGACCCAAAAGAGCTAAAGAGTTGCTTCGCATGGCCGAAAGTGGTGAACTGCAGAATTTGGTTTTCTCCGATGAGAAAACATTCGTTGTCCAGAAGTTTGTAAATAAACCAAATGATCGTGTTTACTTGCCAAAGAGGTCAGCTGAAAATGTGCACCTTCGGTTGGCCACCATAACTCAAGCACCGGCCATGGTGATGGTGTGGGCCACCATAACAGCCGATGGTCGCTCTCTGCTCGTATTAATCGACCGTTATATCAGAATAAATGCCGAATATTATCGCGAAAATATTCTGGAGGGTGTATTCAAGCCTTGGACACGCAAACATTTTGGCCGCAGACCTTGGATATTCCAACAGGACTCAGCACCATCGCAATCAGCACGCGAGTTAACTTCCGTACCGCCGAAAAATCAGAAAACAAGAATTATTCTGTTTTAGATGCCAAATACAACTGATGCTTTATTCAAAAAATTCTTATATTTAAGTGATTTTACAATTATTGATTTTTCTTAGAGTTAACAAAGAACAAAGAAACATAAAATCTAGAGCTATCAAGAAAAATACTTAAGCTAAAAATTTGTATTGGGTACAGTAAAAGTAAACATTTCTTTTTGGGTTATTTCCGTCGTAGTTTTATTACTAGTGTTGTTATTGTGATGTTGAAGTGGAGAATTATTGCTGACGAAATAATGTCAACAATATTGGTGTTAGCTCTTTGGTGCTTATGACAATGTTGTAACTAATAATGATGTTAATAATAATGATATTAATAATAATGATGTTAATAATAATGATGTTAATAATAATGGTGTTAATAATAATGATGTTATTAATAAATGAGGTTGTGGTTGAAAATAATGAACTTAATAATAATGTTGTTTATTGGTGGCTGTAGGTAACTCCTCCCTCTCCAGAATGAAGTGAGGGCCAAAGGGGCTTCGGATCATTTGTAGCCAGAACTTCATTGTTGTTGTGGGTTATGGAGTAGATTAATTTTATAGGCTTTCTTATTACTAATATTATTGATAATATTATGATTATAGAACTAATTATACCAAATGCGGAATAAGAAATTGTTTTGTAATTGTCAGAGTCTGTTTGAAGAAATTCGATATTTGCTTTATTTTGGAATCTGTATTGATCTAATTTGGGTAATGTTAGTTCGTCTCTTATGGAGAGTGTTGTAATATTGTTTGAGAAGCTAGTTTGGAAGGTTATTGTGCTAATGTTTTCTTGGTGAATATTCGGTTTATCTGTATACCAGACATTATTAAATAAGATTTTGCATTCATTAAAATTAATAACAGAGGAAGACTTGATTGGTAGACTCTTAGTTACGTTGTTACATACTGTGGTTATGTTTCCTATTGGAGGGTTTATAAGCACTAGGTAATTTGGTTCTGGATATATTATGTCCGTAGTTAATCCTATGTCTCTAAGGTGACATGCCACCGTTTCTTCTCTAAGCAAAATTGATTTTAGGCAATCTCTATTTCTTTCGTATTGAGTTTCATAGTTGCAGTAAAATTTTTGTTCTATTTGTTTGCATCGGTTGTCGAAAAGATAAAGGTTATCATTGTTTATTAAAGCGTATTCACCGGTTATTATTTCTAAGGTGTTATTTATGGGGGTTTTGATTATGTGTAATAATTTAAATAGTTCATTAGAAATTATAGGAATTTGTATGTCAAATATTATGTTTGTGTCGTTATAATATGCTGTCAGTTGTAGTAATTCATATATATGTTCTGGTGATATAATGTCCGTTGCATTGTTAAGTATGTTGTGTATTTCATTCAGTTCGTCAGTAGTTAATATTAATTTTGGGACGGTGTTAAGCCTTGCTAATACTACTGATTCTGCGATATCATTAAGATGGTCGGTAAGTATATCTATGTTAAAACTGATTTGAAGTAAATTTTGCATTTGGATTATTGCATTAACCGAGGGGTTTATGGCATTTCTTGTCTGGTTTTGAATCATCATTATAGAACGTTCTATTAGGTTTTGTTCTTCATTTATGTGATTGGTAATGTTTTCGAATCTTGTTATCATTTTGTTATTTAACATCAGTTGGTTTTTAAGCGTTGTTTTTATTTGGGTATTTCCTCTAGTTAAATTGTCAATGTTTTTATTTAGTTCTTCTGCATCTTTGTAGTCCATATTTCCCGTTATGAATTTGATTGCTGATCCTAAGGCATTTACAAGTCCCCGTTTTTTCCTATAATTTGGGGTTAATATATCCAATTTGGCTGAGAGATTATTCAGTTTCAGTTTCGTAGTTCTAAGTTGTGATGCTGTAAATCTTGTCTCCTCTATTCGATCCAAAGTTTGCTTTATAGTGTTAATATTGTCGTTATATGTTTTAAGGTTAATAACATGGATTAGATGTTGAAAGTCTGTGATTAATTTAGCATCGCCTAGTTGTAGTGGTATAAGTCCCTGAGTCTGCGTTATGTTTGTTATTGTGACGTCGGATTGTACAGGTACGAACCTAAAAGACAAATAGAAGTCAGTTTATGTAAGACGTTTTCTTTTAATTTTGGCTTTATGTAGTTTTTGGTTATTTGACGTTATCAGCGTCACTTTCTTGTTTTCCTTGACTACCCTCTTTGAGAAGCGAGGGGTCATTTTGTTCCTCCCTGATTCCCTTCTGTATATTGTCTGGTTTTTAGTTAAATCTTCTGGTTCTTCCCTATTTGCGTTTAGTTTTTTTATACGTTTGTCAGTGTCCATGGATAATTTATCTTTAATAATTTTGTGTAAGTCATTTTGAAATTCTTGTAGTCTATTTAAGTAGTCATGTTCAGAGTTATAGCTTAATGTCTTTTCGAAGTTATAAGTCCTACCATAGAAGAGTTCAAATGGGGTTAATTTTGTAGCACTATGGATTGCGTTGTTATAGGTAAAAATGACTTCTGATAGTATTTCGTCGTGATTTAGTGGTATTTCTGATGACTTATACTTTTCGTAAACTATTCTGTAGGTCTCGGTAATGGTTGAATGTAATCTTTCTACGGGAGAGTTTCCTGTACTTTGATGAAATGATGTATAATGTAAGGTTATCTGATGCATTTTACAAAAATCTTTTATAATGGATGCATTAAATTCAGCGCCCTGATCACAAACAATTTTCTTGGGTATGCCGTGTAGGCTTATGAAATGTTTGAAACTTTTCAGAATTGATAGGCTATTCCTAGAGTCTAAAGAGTAAGCGGCTGCAAATTTAGAAAATTTGTCTATGATGGTAAGTATATTACGCTTGTTTATACAATAGATATCTGTGTGGATAATATCCAGTGGTTTTTCGGGAATTTCAGGTTTTTGAAATTTGGGTTTTGGTGGTTTCCTGTCATATTTTAAAGTTTGGCATGTATGACAATGATTAATACAATTTTGTATTTTGTTTTTCATGAAAGGGAAGTAGTACTCTCGTTTTAAGTGTGCATATGTCTCTTGAATACCTCTATGGTTATGGTTCATATGGTATTCATTAATTATTTTGTCTTGCTCATCAATGGTTCTTATGTCTTGTAGAATGTCCATGCATCGTACTAACTTAAATAGTTTGCTGTTTGCAAAGTATTTTGAGTAGGTGCTTTGAATTAATTTAAATGTATCGTCATCTGCCATAAGCGCAGAGACTTTATTTGGTGCTATATA